CCAAGTTGCTCACCTTTCGCCAGCCCTATGATGTTGGTAAAGAAGAAAAACGGCACTGATCGTCTTTGTGTGGACTATAGGATATTAAATGAGAATACCGTTGCTGATAGGTATCCGTTGCCTCTTATCGCAGACCAGATTGCCAGGCTTCGCGGTGCCAAATATTTTTCGTATTTAGATATGGCCAGTGGTTTCTATCAAATTCTAGTACATGAAAATTCAATAGAGCGAACCGCGTTTGTAACGCCAGAAGGGCAGTACGCGTTTTTGACCATGCCTATTGGCTTGAAAAATCCACCTTCTGTGTTCCAGAGGGCCATAATAAGAGCATTAGGAACTCTAGCACACACATATGTTATCGTTTATATTGATGATGTGTTGGTTATAGCCGAAACCAAAGAGTAGGCGTTGGAACGGTTGCATACTGTACTCGAAACATTAAGTAATGCCGGATTTTCGTTTAACGTAACCAAGTGCTTTTTCCTTAAAACTCGTATAGAGTATCTGGGGTTCGAAATAAGCAACGGGGAAATTAGGCCAAACCACGTAATATAAACCACCTCCACAATCTGTGTCGCAGTTATGACAATTCATTGGATTGGCTTCATATTTCAGACAGTTCGTTCCAAAATTTTCGGAGACGCTTAAGCCTTTGTATCACCTAACGTCAAAGAAAATTGCAACTTTCACTTGGCAACAAGACCACGAGCAAATACGAGCTAAAATCATATCTGTGTTGACACAGGCACCCGTTTTGATCATATTCGACCCGCAATACGCAATTGAGTTGCACACTGACGCCAGTTCAATTGGCTATGGAGCTATACTATTGCACAAAATTGATAACAAACCCCATCTCATTGAGTATTTTAGTAAATGCACGTCTCCTGCCGAGTCAAAATATCATTCTTATGAATTAGAGACGCTAGCGGTAGTTAACGGTATCCGACATTTCCGCCATTACTTGCAGGGACGTAAATTTATCGTTTATACAGACTGCAATTCTTTGAAGGCTAGTCGCACAAAACTCGACTTAACGCCGAGGGTACACAGGTGGTGGGCATTTTTGCAATCGTTTGACTTTGACTTAGAGTACAGAAAGGGTGAACGAATGTGCCTGAGAAAAATAATGATCAAAAGAAAATACCTAAGGAAAATAGTATTCAGAATAAAATACCTGAGAAACGAATAAATTTGACTGAGGTAACCGACAACTGGTTGATTTCGGAGAAACAGCGTGATAGTGAAATTTAAGATATATCAACTAAATTAATAAATAATGAATTACCAGATAATTTAGATAAAACCTATGAATTACGAAAATGTATTTTGCATAGGAAAATACAGCGAAATGGTAAAACTAAATGTCTACCGGTAATTCCAAGGTCATTTTGATGGGAAATTATCCATCATGTCCACGAATCAATAATGCATTTGGGATGGGAAAAGACATTAGATAAGGTTTATAGCTATTATTGTCAAAATATGTGCGTCGGTTCGTAGAGAACTGTATCACTTGTAAACTATCGAAGCCACCCGTAGGTAAAGTGCAGGCAAAGTTACATTCTATTCCCAAAATAGATATACCGTGGCACACGGTACATATTGACATAACAGGAAAATTGAGTAGTTAAAATGACTTAAAAGAATACGTTATTGTCTTAATAGACGCATTTACAAAATTTGTTTATTTTTACAACACTTTGAAAATAGATACGGAAAGTGGTGTTAAGGCCGTAAGATCAGTTGTTTCCTTTTTTGGCTTGCCTACCCGAATTATAGCGGATCAAGGTCGTTGTTTTGCAAGTTCAGATTTTCGTGAGTTTTGTTCCTCTCAAAAAATTAATTTGCATTTAATTGCCACCGGTGGGAGTAGGGCCAATGGTCAGGTCGAGCGAGTAATGAGTACACTCAAAAGTATGTTGACGGCTGTGGAAACCGGTCAGAGATCGTGGCAGCATGCGTTGGCCGAGGTGCAATTGGCAATAAATTGTACGGCGAATAGAGTAACTAAGTTTAGCCCATTAGAATTGTTAATTGGTAAGGAAGCTAGACCTTTTGGCTTACTACCAATAGATGAAAAAGTTGATGACAAAATAGACAGAGAAAATCTAAGAAAACAAGCCAAACAAAATATGGAAGACGGCGCACGATATGATAAGCGCAGGTTTGATAGTAATAAGGCGAAAATTATTAAACATAGTTTAGGCGATCACGTATTGATTAAGAATGAGGAGCGTCATCAAACTAAGCTTGACCCTAAATTTAAAGGGCCGTTTGAGATTGTCAAAATACTAGATGGAGATAGATATCTGTTAAAGTCCTTAACAAGTAAGCGAACTTACAAATACTCCCATGAATTCTTAAGAGCTTTGCCGAATAATGAGCTAATACGCGAAGATAGGAACGGCACGATGGAAGATGCATCTGACAATCAAGAAAGAGAATCATAAAAAAAAGGGAGTAAAGGAACTACACTAAAGTTATTGTAATGTGTTAAAGGAACTACACAAATGTTAAAAAGTGTTAAAGGAACTACACTAAAGTTATTATAATGTGTTAAGGGAACTACACAAATGTTAAAAAGTGTTAAAGGAACTACACTTATGTTACATTGTAAGATGTGTTACAGGAATTACACAATTGTTAAAATGTGTCAAAGGAAATGCACAAATGTTTTATTTTACAAAAGAGAATAATGTTATTAAAGAATAACTAAATGAATTAATAAGATTATGTTTAATTGAAGAAATATAATGAATACAGAAGATTTGACGTTTATATATGTGATTTTTATTTTGAAAGCTTTTGTCCAATACATGAAATAAAAATATCTGTTTAAAAATAAAGAAAAGTTTAAAGTTAAATTGAGTCTTGTGGTATTGAAAGCTAAACACACGAGGACGTGAGATAGGTCAGGAAGGCCGTGTCGCAGTGTGATTCCCAGTAAATGAAGCATTCTGGTAATTTGGGAATTCGGGGAATTCTCTGCTTCTGATTTACTCGTTAAAATTGAGCGAATGCACGGCAGCAGAGGCAGAGACGCTCTGCTGCTGAGTGAGGTTCGATGGTAAGATACCAAGAGTCTTGAGTAAGACAGAGATGGCTGTATACGCTCGACTTGAGTGAGTTTATGACGTGAGCGCGTATGCAAGAGTCAGTTGAGCTTGGGTATTCGAACCAAACGGAACTCGCTGTGCAACTGCGAAAATCAATAAAAGCATCAAGATGGAAAACATACCCTTGCCGCCGACAAATATAAAATTTCCCTTTTCCATTTCCCAAATTAATTTTCTTCTAAATTTTTTTTTTTTTAGGGATTATATTTTTTAATTTTTTTTTTTTTTTATAAAAATATATAAATTTTATTTTTTTTTTAAAAAAATAAAATTTTTCCTAAAGTTTCGACCAACGAGCCGGCCCAAAAATTTTATTTTTTTTTCCATGGGGAAGATAAGCTCTTCTCCAACCAACTACTAATTATAGCCGCCCTCCCAGGGTATATGTATATGTCGTAGTGCGATTCCCAGTTAATGTAGCATTCTGGTAATTTGGGAATTCGGGGAATTTGGGAATTCGGGGAATTCCCTGCTTCTGCTTCACTCGTTGATGTTGAGCAAATGCACGGCAGCAGGGGCAGAGACGCTCTGCTGCTGAGTGAGGTCCGATGGTAAGATACCAAGAGTCTTGAGTAAGACAGAGATGGCTGCATACGCTCAACTTGAGTGAGTTTATGTCGTGAGCGCTTATGCTGAGTTAGTTGAACTTGGGTATTCGAACCGATCGGAACTCTCTGTGTAACTGCAAGAATCTATAACAGTGTCAGCATGAATAACATACCCTTGCCGCCGACCGATATACCACTGCCCCCGACATCAGAAGTGGGATCTGCTTTGCCTACTGCACATGCCACCGATCCGTATTTGTCAGCGTTGGAGCTACAAAACCGCAACCTACTGGAAATCATCAAAAACATGCAGACACCAAGGGCACCGCCAGCCGATGGAAAAGCATCATATGTGACTCTTCCAAAATTCTATCCTGACATCACTGGAGCGGATGCTTCCTCTTGGTGTTCAACAGTTGATCTAATTTTGGCGGATAACGTGCTCGAGGGTAGCAACCTGGTGATCGCCCTAAGCAAGGCACTAGAAGGCTGCGCATCTCAGTGGCTTTCCCAAATTTGCTTTGCCGGCATCACTTGGGCGCAGTTCAAGGAGCTGTTTATACAACGCTTTGTTGGAATTGAGACTTCTGCCGCCATGCTATTAAATGTTCTGAATGATCGAAAGCCGAAGGAGGGCTTCGCCGAATACGGCAGCCGTATTGTGACGCTACTTATGTCAAAATGGAAAACCAAGAATTTGCAGAAGATTGCGGTACCAGTACCGTTAGCTCACATGGCTCAAATTGATAATAATTTGTGGCATTGGCTGTTTACAACGAATGTGACGACTCGTAATGAGCTGCAGCAGCAGCTACAGGCTTACGCTTTCAAGAAGCGTAACAACGAGGAGGTCGGATATTCGACGGGTCCGGATAAGAAGAAAACAAGAATGCAGTCGCAGGTGAAGTACCATTTTTGTGGAAAGGTTGGCCACAAATATGCAGAATGCCGCTCTCGAATGGAGAAAGCATCAGCCCCAACAGAAAGGAGTTATAGCGTGAGCAACGCGACCGGAGTGAAGGATCGATCAAAAATTAAATGTTTTAAGTGCTGTGAAAACGGACATGTGGCTTCTGTATGCCCCAAAAATCGTACTGATGCAAGCAGCAAGAGCTACGAGAAGCGAGTTGACGTTTGTACACTGGCTCCACCAAGTGGAACAATTACGTTATCCGGTGAGTCTATTCCATATTGTTTCGATTCTGTAGCCGAATGTTCACTGGTCAAGGAGAGTGTTGCAGATAAATTCAGCGGAAAACGATTTCACAATATTGTAACTAAATGGTTCTGAGTAATATTAATATTGAACAATATTGTTTAGAAGTTGTGTTACATGTAGTTATGGACAAGTATTTGAAGCATGACGTGTTGATTGGCCGTGAAGTTTTAAGCCTGGGCTTTGGTGTATCAATTGATGCAGATAAATTTTGCTTTTATAATATAAAAAGAGTAAATGTTCTGAGTCTAGTGAAGTATGAAGAAATCATAAATTCTGATACTAATTTAATTGATTCTGATAAGACGATATTAAACAATATGTTGAGATGTCACTCGGATAGGTTTATTGACGGAACTCCAATGACTCGTGTGACGATAGGTCAATTAGAAATTAGGCTAATAGATCTACAAAAGACCGCACCATAACAAATGGAATTGTTATGGCGGGGGTCAAAGATCGCACCATAGCAGAAGGACTTGCTGTGGTGGGGGTCAGTGATGATCGCACCATGACAGAAGGATTTGTCATGGCGGGGATCGGTAATAATAACTGCATGTCGTAGAATGGTAAATTAGCCCACTGTATAAGTGTGGCAAAGAATGGTGCAGGTGCAGAATTGTGCAGGCATCATCAGCAGTCCAGAAAAAGAGATATACTCAGCTGCTGAGTAAGGTCTGTTCGTAGTGGCGTAGAAAAGGGATGGCATTATGATTTGCCAAAACTGTGAATTAGCTTAGAGTGTGCGGATAAAATAATTGAGAAACGAAGAATTCGATGGCCTAAGTGATGGCGATTCCCAGGAGGGGAACGAACTAATAGACGGCGTTAGTAAGCGTGCGTCTGTGTCCCAAGAGGGGAAAGAGCATGAAGACGGCACAAGTGAATGTGCGTCTGTGTCCCAAGAGGGAATTGAGGACCGCACCAAAACAGCTGTCTCACAGGGATGAGAAGTGTTATGGCAGGGGTCAAGGTGATTGGGTGTAAGTGTGTACATCAAATTAAATTGAGAAACTAAGAGACAAATCTAAGTTGTGTGAAATCTGAATTATTGGAAAATTCTGATTCGAATTGAATGATATGAACAAGATCATCATAAGTTGAAAATGTATTATGTCTGTAAACAGGAGAAAATTGTGTTTCCTAGATAAAAACAAAAAAAAAATTGTCAGTTGGTGTTTGTGTAAGCGGCTCTGTAAGTTTGTAAATTTTAAGAGAAAAATAATGATCAAAATAAAATACCTGAGGAAAATAGTGTTCAGAATAAAATACCTGAGAAACGAATAAATTTGACTGAGGTAACCGACAACTGGTTAATTTCGGAGCAACAGCGAGATAGTGAGATTTTAGATATATCAACTAAATTAAGAAATAATGAATTACCAGATAATTTAGATAAAACCTATGAATTACGAAAATGTATTTTGCATAGGAAAATACAGCGAAATGGCAAAACTAAATGTCTACCGGTAATTCCAAGGTCATTTAGATGGGCAATTATCAATCATGTCCACGAATCAATAATGCATTTGGGATGGGAAAAGACATTAGATAAGGTTTATAGCTATTATTGGTTTGAAAATATGTCAAAAATATGTGCGTCGGTTCGTAGAGAATTGTATCACTTGCAAACTATCGAAGCCACCCGTAGGTAAAGTGCAGGCAGAGTTACATTCTATTCCCAAAATAGATATACCGTGGCACACGGTACATATTGACATAACAGGAAAATTGAGTGGTAAAAATGACTTAAAAGAATACGTTATTGTCTTAATAGACGCATTTACAAAATTTGTTTATTTTTACCACACTTTGAAAATAGATACGGAAAGTTGTATTAAGGCCGTAAGATCAGTTGTTTCCTTATTTGGCTTGCCTACCCGAATTATAGCGGATCAAGGTCGTTGTTTTGCAAGTTCAGATTTTCGTGAATTTTGTTCCTCTCAAAAAATTAATTTGCATTTAATTGCCACCGGTGCGAGTAGGGCCAATGGTCAGGTCGAGCGAGTAATGAGTACACTCAAAAGTATGTTGACGGCTGTGGAAACCGGTCAGAGATCGTGGCAGGATGCGTTGGCCGAGGTGCAATTGGCAATGAATTGTACGGCGAATAGAGTAACTAAGTTTAGCCCATTAGAATTGTTAATTGGTAAGGAAGCTAGACCTTTTGGCTTACTACCAATAGATGAAAAAAGTTGATGACAAAATAGACAGAGAAAATCTAAGAAAACAAGCCGAACAAAATATGGAAGACGGCGCACGATATGATAAGCGCAGGTTTGATAGTAATAAGGCGAAAATTATTAAACATAGTTTAGGCGATCACGTATTGATTAAGAATGAGGAGCGTCATCAAACTAAGCTTGACCCTAAATTTAAAGGGCCGTTTGAGATTGTCAAAATACTAGATGGAGATAGATATCTGTTAAAGTCCTTAACAAGTAAGCGAACTTACAAATACTCCCATGAATTCTTAAGAGCTTTGCCGAATAATGATCTAATATGCGAAGATAGGGACGGCACGATGGAAGATGCGTCTGACAATCAAGAAAGAGAATCATAAAAAAAAAAAAAAAGGAAAGTGTTAAAGGAACTACACTAAAGATTATTGTAATGTGTTAAAGGAACTACACAAATGTTAGAAAGTGTTAAAGGAACTACACTAAAGATTATTGTAATGTGTTAAAGGAACTACACAAATGTTCGAAAGTGTTAAAGGAACTACACTAAAGATTGTTGTAATGTGTTAAAGGAACTACACAAATGTTAGAAAGTGTTAAAGGAACTACACTAAAGATTATTGTAATGTGTTAAAGGAACTACACAAATGTTAGAAAGTGTTAAAGGAACTACACTAAAGATTATTGTAATGTGTTAAAGGAACTACACTAATGTTATATTGTAAGATGTGTTACAGGAATTACATAATTGTTAAAATGTGTCAAAGGAAATGCACGAATGTTTTATTTTACAAAAGAGAATAATGTTATAAAGGAATAACTAAATTAATTAATAAGATTATGTTTAAAGAAATGTAATGAATACAGAAGATTTGATATTTATATAAGTGATTTTTATATTGAAAGCTAAACACACGAGGACGTGTGATAGGTCAGGAAGGCCGTGTCGTAGTGCGATTCCCAGTTAATGTAGCATTCTGGTAATTTGGGAATTCGGGGAATTCGGGGAATTCCCTGCTTCTGCTTCACTCGTTGATGTTGAGCAAATGCACGGCAGCAGGGGCAGAGACGCTCTGCTGCTGAGTGAGGTCCGATGGTAAGATACCAAGAGTCTTGAGTAAGACAGAGATGGCTGCATACGCTCAACTTGAGTGAGTTTATGTCGTGAGCGCTTATGCTGAGTTAGTTGAACTTGGGTATTCGAACCGATCGGAACTCTCTGTGTAACTGCAAGAATCTATAACAGTGTCAGCATGAATAACATACCCTTGCCGCCGACCGATATACCACTGCCCCCGACATATACATAAGACAAATATGCCAATGCATGTAAGTTATATGACTCATTATTTAGGGGCTCTTACCCAATTTATAAACAACTTTGAGCCGAGAGCCAATTTCCAAATAACTCTGACAGACCCGAGATAAATCCGTGGTCAGCTATTTCTGTCAACCAGGCCTCAGAATCATTTCCACCCAGATCAATTTCACGCAGCCCAAATCAAACGTATGCTGTAAACATCCAGTCCGCTAACGTAAACAAAAGATCTCCAAAGCGAGCCCCGAGTCCGCTAACCTAATCAAAAAGATCCCCAAAGCGGTCCCTAAACTCCGTTAATGTAAACACCAATTTCCGGCCAAGATTGGACTTCAAATTTAATTGACAAATTGCATCATCCTATTTTCCGACTCTCTTGAGATTCCATTCTCTTTATCAATTTTTGGGGATAAATTCTCTTAAGCCGAGGTTTGATTATTAATCATTGAACTAGAGATCGACAGTCCGTTTTTGAGATCCGAATCGAGCAGTAGTGATAATCAGTAAAAAGTAAACGAGCAGTGAATAGACTAAGTTCGACCTATTGAAAAATTGTAATAGTGATTAAGTGATTAAAAAATAAAATAAAATTTTCTTACTAAAATCACGAGTGAGAAACTTAATTGGCGCCCAACGTGGCGCCGTGCGATTAAAAAATTCTAAAAAAACAAGCTTTAAAATAAAAACAAAAAAGTTTTAAGTGAACAAAGGAATTTAGCGCGGCCAAAAAACCTGATACAACCGACGAATTAATAAAGCCTGTGTTGATAAAAATAAGGTGGAAATCAATAAATGCAATAATCCCCTTAAACTCTATACAACCGGCAAAAAAATAAAAAGTTTGTGTTGATCAAAAAAACTAAGGTGGAAAATAATTAATGAAATAATCCCTTGAAATCTCAAATTACAAAATAGTGATCGTAACATAAATTCACTGCTCGGACAATATAAAAATCAAAAAGTGACAAAATTTTTCATAAAGAAAATAAACATGGAAAAAAACAGTTAAATTACAGAAATGTTTAAAATCGAAAAGTAAAATGATCTTTAAAATCAACAACAAAAGACATTCATAGAAAACAGGCTGAAGGGCAATCCCTCGCCAAATATTGAAAAGAAGGAAGACCCAATCTAAAAACAAAAAAAGGAAGGACGACCCCAATCAGGATCATCATTCAGGATAAGGACAACCCCAACAGGAAAAATAACAACGAGAAGAAAAAAATAAAAGGACGATTCGTGAGCGATACTATATTTTTATTGTTATTATCATATATTTATTATTATTATTATTATACAAAAAATTTATATTTAATAATAACCAACAAAAACAGTGGAAGACCTATAGGCAGCCACAAAATAAGCCGGAACCTATGGAGGTAGACGAGTCTATCCAGTTTCAGAATAAGGCTAATAATGGCTATAATCAAGGCTATAATAAATATCAAAATAATAAATATAGTCAGAACAAGTGGGATCAAACAAAAAAATTTGAGACCCAGAACACTCAGCAAGCCAAGTCCAAAATAAAAGGGTATCAACTGGAACTGTTAACCAACCGGTTAACAAGACGATGAGATTAAATAACAATGAAGAGGACCATTTTTTAGACAACAGCCAGGAGTAGGCTTACCCTACTTATTTAGAAATGATCCAAAAATAAATAAAAAATTAAAAATATTAATTGACACTGGGGCAACCTCGTGTTATATAAGAACAGGTATTTATAAAAATAAGAACGAGCTTCCGATTTACAAAAGAGTATCCACAGTGAATGGATATTCAATAATTAAATTTTATCATAAAATAACTATTTTTGATACACCATATACTTTTTATGAAATAGATGGGCTTGACTCAGATTTACTGGTCGGCTATAACCTATTAAATAAAATAGGAGCGGTAATTGATACAGCTAAGGGAGTAATTAAATATAATGGAATAGAAGAAAAATAAAATTATGATAACGAAAACATATTAAACCAACATTCTTTAACAGAAGAAAACACCATTCTTCCATTAAAAGAATTTATATTAAAAAAAAATATATATAAATACCAATGCAGGACCCTTTAGTGATTTTGTCAAATCTTGGGAAAGCCAAATACTTTTCAACAATTGACTTGGAATCTGGATTTCATCAGATTCTCATGAATGAATCAGACATTCAGAAAACTTCATTTTCAATAAACAACGGAAAATACGAATTCCTAAGAATGCATTTCGGTTTGACCAACGCTCCAAGAATATTCCAACGAGCGATGGATGATATTTTAAGAGAACAAGTGGGTAAAACATGTCACGTTTATATGGATGACATAATTATATTTTCAAAAACAATTGAACAACACTACAAAGATTTAATTCTCATTATTAAAATTTTGATGAACGCAAACATGAA